TTGCGTGGACTCCGGCAGTTGGTGATGGACAGGGAGGCCTGGCATGCTGCGGTTCATGGGGTTGCAAGGAGTCAGACACAACTGAGCGACTGAACTGAACTGAACTGAGGCTACTTAAAAGCTGGTTGCTCATCTCCCTAATCTTCCCAAAGCCTGAAAAACATTGATTAACAAGAAATTTATTAAAGAAGAAGGAAATTATTTTTTTTAATTTTAAGTCATAAAAAAGAAATAGCTCACTTTGAATATAAAATTGACATAGAGATAAATAATAAACTACTTACTTAGATTCTCTGAAGTTGGTTTATATGGGAGCAACTTTTAAGCTTTTTTTAAGCCTTTTAAGAAATTTTTAAGCCTTTTAAGGCTGCTCTGAAGTCTATGGAATGGTTGAATGGACTGCATCTCAGAGGTCTGACATGACTGGATGTTCTTTAGTAAGACACCAATTTAGCTTTGTGTTGCATCAACAGAATTAGTTAGATGTACTACCTGTATTATAGCTAGGGTTCTTTCCATCTCTACTCAATATCTGCTTGTTTCTCTACCCAAGCCTGCCTAACAATCTGAAGTTCCCCAAGGAGAACACTTAAATCAGATTAATTGATGCATCATTTGTTATTGCCAAAACTTAGGATTTACTTTATTTTTAAAAAAAAAGTCTGTTGGGTGAATACATCTGTTTAACCAACGTGGTCTGCCTAATTACCAACTCAGGTTCTAGGTTCCCAGTTCCTTCTTTCCTTAACCTTCGTTGCTCTTTTTGATCTTCTGCCATCAAAAACAAACTGCAGTTTAACTTCTCAAGGCCCTTCTTTGTCTCCATGTTTTCCTTACTCCTCCTTTTCTTATATGATTCTTTTAATGTTCTAGTCTTCATATTATGGTTATTCTTGATTTCTTTCTCCTTTTATTTTTGTCCCTTATCATTTTCTCCATGTATTTTGGCCAACTGTTCTTATTCCCTTTCACAGTTTATTTCCATCCTCTGGTAGTTTTTCTTTTTTTCTTTCTTTGCCTTCTTATCTCTTTCCTCTTAAGAATCTGTATTAAACTTAAGTTTCATTTGCATTTTAAGAAAAGAATACTTCCTTCACGAAAAGTACTCATCACAATTCTAGATCTTCCTCATTAAGAACACAAAGTTGAGGAGGAAAGTGTTTCTGTTTCCATCTCACCTTAGGTATGTATACTCAATAGGGGTATAATTATTGTTTCTGGCACTAGTGGTAAAAAACCTGCCTGCTAATGCAGGAGACATAAGAGATAACGGCTTGATCCTTGGGTCAGGAAAATCCCATGAGAAGGAAATGGCAACCCACTCCAGTGTTCTTGCATGGAGAATGCCATGAACAGAGGAGCCTGGAGGGCTATAGTTCATATGGTCACAAAGAGTCGGATATGACTAAAACGACTTAACATGCACACACGCATGAAGGTGTATGAGTCAGATGACCTATATATGTCAGCCAGATCAAGTCAGTAAATACTAGCGGCAGAGAAAGTAGAAGAAACAGTCAACAACCAGTTCTGAGCTGCCCAAACAAAATAATCAAATTAGTTGCCCAGCTAGGCGGTTTCAGTTACAAGTCACAGGAAATCCAACTCAGTCTGGTTGAAAGGAAAAAGGCTAACACAAGGGATAACTCCATAAATAGCAATGTCACCGAGAACCTGCATTGCCATCTATGGTGTTAGTTTTACTCTAGACCTGGCTCCTCTCAAGAACTCAGCAGACCCTAGGACTAGATAGATGCCTTTTGCTCACACACAACAAGAAAAATGTATTCCCAGCCAAAGTCCTAAGATTTCACTGGACTGGTCTAGGTCCCACACCTTCTTCTGAATCAGTCACTATGGAAGGGGAAATGGAATGCAGTGATCTGCTAATCCTAGTCCAGGTGCTCCATCTCTGGATCCTGGGTAGCTAGGATATGGTTTCAGAGAAGGAGCAATGAGGGATGGTATGCTAGAAAGGCAACCAGCAAATGTTCAATGCACACAGACAGCAAAGCTGAATGTAGACAGTGCAAAATAACAAGCTGTACTCTACTTATTAATATATGTTCTTTTTTCCAGTTATTTTGATAATTATAAGATTATAAAAACTGAGATAACACATTTTATCTTATGCAAATCCAGTTCCTTTTCATTCTTTTATAATCAATTCCTCTAGGAACTCTTTCTGAGAATGTTCACCCCAAACAGTTACCTATTTTTATTACTGCTAAATAATTTAAATGTTTTTACTGTAAAATAATGAGAAGGAAAAAAAACAGAATAATAACAAACTACAACAAATGATTATTTGAGAAAATAATGATATTCTTGTAGGAAAAGAGTGCTTAAAGACTAATTAGTGAGTATTTAAAAAAATATTATAGAGTCATTTTAAGCAAATATAGGGGGAAAATCACTTTTGAAAGTGAGAACAGACATGAAGAAGCACACTTCATAAGTGAGTAACTATCACTGTTCTCTCCTATTCTTAATCTCATGATATCTCTTTTTATTAAGTACTAAATAAAGACCATATCAAATTAAAGGCCAGGATGCTAATAACCAAACATACAGAAAAGTCACCTGCCTGGTTATTTGTGGATGGGCAGGGGTGAAGGGTGAGGGCCAATTTGACAACAGCAGTTATTTACTGATACTTAAACCATACACAGGTATTCAAATAAATGAACGTTAATCCTCAGTCCTCCAAAAAAGACCTCCTGTATTTTTTTAGAGCTTCCAAACATCAATTTCAAAAGAATTCTCCCCAACCTGTAGAATACTTTTATTTTCTCTGTACTTTAAAAGAGAAAGAAAATTAAAAAACCAGAATGTCATCTGCAGCAATGAGTCATCAGCCACGGCAGCTCTAAAACACCCAGGTCTTCCCCTTTCTCTGCAGCCCTTTACAAACGAAGACTACCTTTTAAATCCCGGCGCTGCCTGGATGAAAAGCGTAATTAATTCTGGCCTTTTCATGCCTACGGAAACACTTTGCGCACATCACAGCAGTGGGTTTGAGCACCCTCTGTATACCCAAAACAGGGAAAGCCATGGTCACAATCCAGTTCTACTCAAAATGCTCTGTAAGTCACCATGGTAGTTTTGCTACTACTTCATCAAATATCTCTCTGACAAGCAGATCACGCTAAAGAAAACTCACAATCAACCACCTGTATGAACAACTTTTTTTTTTTAACTTTTAAAAGTGTGGAATATGTATTTTCCAAATTCTTGGCACTGAACACATGCTTTCATTTCTCAACTTGTGGCAGCTATAGAGGGGTATTCAAACAACTTAATCTCTTAGATGCAGCTGCTCAATATCATTTCCCTTTATTAGAATAATTTTTCATATTTTAATACATACTTACATGCTCTATTACCAAGGCTATTATTCCATTGAGAATTTCAAAACTTAAATTTTCAAGGTTCCATTTCAAAACACAAATAATATGGGTAAAATTTTTAAAAAGAAATTTAACTAAAGATATACCTTAAAAAATTTAGCCCTCTTTACAATAATTAATTATTCTAGCCCTATTTGAGGAGTCTTGAAAGAAAATGCCTACTTTTCAAAGAAGTTACTCCTGCTGTAAGTGAAGTTTCTTTGTTTTAACTACAGACTGTATATAGAACACACAAATAATGAAATACAGAATTCCTCTCACCTGTTTGGGTGTGACCCCAGGCATGCGAATATCCAATGCAAAATCTGATGAATCAATAGGAATTACTGGTCTGGTGGTACCAAGACATTCATTGGAAAATGATCTGGTAGTTTCCTTAAACCTTAAAAAGAAGACAATTTCAATATCCTTGAACATAATGGGATTTTAACTGGACATGGGAAGAGAACAAAAAAAGGAATTCTATGACTTTAAGACTAAATATTGTTGACTTAGACACAATGAAAAGATGTAATTACCACATAATGTTCTATAACATTCTCAGAATTGCATCATATAGTCCAAGAGCAACATGCACCCAACTTGTGAGCAAAACATAAGAAAAGCAATCAAGCAGGCTACGTTCAAAGCTTGATTCAATATAAACCTGTCAAAATATATATTTGTTTCTGTTAATGAAAGTACAGTATTAATCAATTAGAATTATCATAGGCCTGTCAATACTCTCATGGCAGAAACATTACTACAAGCCAGTAAAAATTTGGGGGACTCCTTTACGAGTGTCCATTATTACTAGTCAGAAACAAAAAAACCAACAATAACATTGCTAGAAGGCAGAGTTTAAGGATGGGGGCGGGGGGAAGCCTGTGATGTGAATTACAAATGTACAAGTGCATAAATATTTAACATGGTAATTATGAAGAGTGTATACAGCTCAATGCTTTCTTGTGAGTTCTTAACAGTCTGTGATCTGCTTCGCCCCACCAGTTACCAACCTTTATATTTTACTCTTCAGGCTGTTACAAACGAGAAGGCATTCCAGCCTAAATGACGATATTGTACTTTCTCAAATTATCTCCCCAAGAGGGAGTGATGAGTATTGGAAATCACAACTTCTAATTGGGAGTTTTGAAAGCCAGGACAGCTTGGCTATATAGGACTGGCGCGGGGGGGGGCTTTTTTTTTTTTTTCCTGTAAGGGGGAACTTTTACAAGAAGTTTAACTGTGTTAAAATTCCCAGGGATTGCGGCCAAGTGAATCAACCACATATATTTCTCCAACACTCTTCCGTTTTTTGTTTTTTTTCAACCGCATGCAAAGAAACCATCCAAACCACATGTCGGCTGTTTAGAAAAAGATAAATAAAAATCAAAAACAAACAAACAAACACCCACCTCTTAAAGACAGAAAGTGGGCTTCGGAAGCCCACACAGCCGCTGGGCAACACGCAGAGGAGAACTAGCAGGCTCCGAAAGCCAGCCATGTCCTCGGCGCTCCGGCCCGGCCGGGAGGACCGAGCGGCGCGGCGCCGGGCGGGCGAGAGGAGCGCCGGGAGGACCGGGCCGCGGCGCCGCCGGCAGCCGCTACTTCATGGCCCGGGGCGCGGCGGGCGTCCCCGCGGCGGCCACACAGCAGCGCCGCGCGCGCTCAGCGCCCGCGGGAAGCCGGGACTTCTGTCAGGTCCGCGAGCGGAAGCGCGCCTCCCCTCAGAGCCGGCGGCGGGGGGCGGCTAGACGCGCGGGATGCTTATCGCTCGGGCGGGACAGGGGCGGGGAGGGCTCCCACACAAACCCGCGTCAGTCATCGTCCGGAACCTGCGAAAAATAGAAGCAGATAATGGATGACTAAACACATGACGGCGTGCGTCCCCTCAGCAAATCCCAGCTGAGGTGCTTTCATCCGTTCGTCGCTCCGCAAGCTTGAGCCCACGCCTGGGGAAAATGCGGTCTGTTGACCTCCCTCCCCCACCCCAAAACCAGCCCCCCTCAGATTTCACATCCCCCTTAGCCCCCCAGTTCTGCCTTTTCCTGCTTTCTCCTCTCTCACACCCACTCTTCTTTTCTCTGCGACTTCTTCCCCCACCCTTTCCCCTCACATTCGCCCCGGGCTCCGGATTTCTTCTCCTCAGTTGCTATGTCACTCCCTTCTAGGATGGAAGATGCACTTGATACCTCTGCCGGTTTTAATATCTGCACTTAATACCTCTTTCATTTTATTACCTTTGATGTCCCTGAACCCAAAGAAAAGGGAACTGAAGTTATGGGTAAAAGCAAAGTTGTTATTGGCAGCCATGAATGGAGAAAAAGGTCTTATAGACATGAAAGCTAATTATGCTTCTTGGTTCTTGAATGTAACGAAGTTTTTCATACAAATGACAGGCTAAGGCAAAAGAAAAGAAAAAAAAAAAAGAAACTAAAGCAGAGTTTATATACGAGAGTAATCAGATAGAAAAAGACTTTGAGAACAAAGGCATGTTCATATATATATATATATATATATATACACATCACAGATCTGATTACATATATATATATATACACACATCACAGATCTGAGGAAAGAGATAACCCCTGCCAAGAATGATCGTCACAGAAGTAATCACTGAAGTTCTCAGAATCATTTTTAAAACAAATAAAAAATCTATAGCTCTACACATCACAGATCTGAGGAAAGAGATAACCCCTGCCAAGAATGATCGTCACAGAAGTAATCACTGAAGTTCTCAGAATCATTTTTAAAACAAATAAAAAATCTATAGCTAACACCAAATATGAAATGTAAGCACCTATTTAAAAATCCTGCATCTAACATACAAATAATAATTTCTTACTTAGAAGGCATGCCTCCCAAAAGATATTCATTCCTGAATAAAGTTTGGAGACTTACAGTGCAATGCAATTAGAAGCAGTAAGGAGAATCTCAGCTGACCCCCACATGAATTTTATATACAGAGAGTATGACCTAAAACTTAACATTAATATAAAAATCAGGCCATACAGAACTAATGTAACATCTCAACATTTTGTGAAGAGGACTCAGCTAGGCTAAATTTTAAAAGCTGTGTGTTTTGACTTTACTCTTATTCTGAATATATTTCAGACTGTGTATCAACTATGTATATTTTAGAAAGGTATTATTTTAAAATGTATCATTCACAATATGAAAATACTTTATAGAAAAATACTTTAAAGGAAAAGATTTCTTAAAGTTCTGAGTCACAAATAAATCCACTGGCCAGATGAATAAGGGTAAAAAAAAAAAAATCAGTAAGATCGTAGAGAAATGCTCCACAATAATAAATTAGCATCCAAATCATTCCCTGGAAATCACAAGAGAGTGAATCTAATATAAATAAAACAAAACAAACAAAAAATCAAACAAAAACTAAACTAAGACAAACAGATGACTTAAACTTGAAATTAGAAGAGTTCACGTTCATTGCTTTCTAGAAGAAACATAGGTTACATAAACTATAAATAAAACATGATTGACTATCCAACCTACGCAAGGATGCTTGAGGCTCCCCAGCAACCAAGGACCACAGTTAATTTACATAAGCAATGACATTTTTAAAAGACTGATGATATTTGTTTGAACTTTCTCTTTGGCTTGCTTTGTTAGCTTTCAGAACAAAAGCCTTTAGCTTTGTCCGAATCCTGTGGGTAAAGGAAAGAACTCCTTGTGCGAGAAGAGAAATAACTGCCTGAAGGCTATGCAATTGCTTTTGTTTACAACAAAATATAATCCTATAAAATGACAATGCTTAACATTCCCCAAATTCTTTTCCTCTTTAAATATATGTGAAGAAGGGATTATATTTTTTCTATTTCATGCAGGACAGGATTCAAGGACAGTCCTTCTTCTAGTTGGCAGGGAGATATGGAATTATACAAACACTTGAAAACAAATTTAGTATTAACATTCTTTAACAGGAACACATCCTTAACTACTAGTGTTTGAAAAAAGATTCCACTTATCTCTTTGATTTTATTACCTTTGATGTCCCTGAACCACCCACTGAAAGAAAAGGGAACTGAAGTTGTGGGTAAAAGCAAAGTTGGTATTGGCAACCATGAATGGAAAAAAAGGTCTTATAGAAATGAAACCTACTTATACTTCTTGGTTCTTGACAGTTTGTACACTGAAGACAAAATACAAATCATCATATGAAAAACATCATGTCTAATCTTTATATTTGTTATTTTACAATGCCTGATGATTGTGAAGTGTATGTGTGTGTATGCATGTATCATCAACAACAACAAATAAATCTATATATGTATACATAATATTCAAATCCTAGTATTCTTTTTTAGAATTAAAAGATTCAAAATAGAGTTCTTTGAGATAATTCATTCTCAAATCAAAACATGGGGCTTCCCAGGTGGCTCACTGGAAAAGAACTTATCTACCAATGCAGGAGACTTGGGTGTGATCGCTGGGTCCAGAAGACCTCCTGGAGAAGGAAATGGCAATCCACTCCAATATTCTTGCCTGGGATATCTCATGGACAGAGGAGCCTAGTGGGCTACAGTCTATCAGGCCTCAAAAGAGACGGATGTGAATTAGCGACTAAACAACAATCCAAAAAATGTTTTAATTTCACTTTTTGTACAAAATATTATATGTTGGGGTTTTAGAAAATGAATAAAACTAAAGGAGAATATACTCTATTAACGGAGATGATTCACTTCCCTATTGCCTTGAAAACCCCATGAATGGTATGGAAAGGCAAAAAGATATGACACTGAAAGATGAATTCCCCAGGTCAGAAGGTGCCCAATATGCTACTGGAGATCAGTGTAGAAATAACTCCAGAAAGAATGAAGAGACAGAGCCAAAGCAAAAGTAACACCCAGTTGTGGATGTGACTGGTGATGGAAGTAGTCAGATATTATAAAGAACAATAGTGCATAGGAACCTGGAATGATAGGTCCATGACTCAAGGTAAATTGGAAGTGATCAAACAGGAGATTGCAAGACTGAACATTGACATTGTAGGAATCAGTGAACTAAAATGGATGGGAATGGGTGGATTTAATTCAGGTGACCACTATATCTATTACTGCAAGCAAGAATCTCTTAGAAGAAATGGAGTAGCCCTTATAGTCAACAAAAGAGTCTGAAATGCAGTACTTGGGTGCAATCTCAAACAAAATTATCTCTCTTCGTTTCCAAGACAAATCATTCAATATCACGGTAATCCAAGTCTATGCCCCGACCAGTAATGCTGAAGAAGCTGTAGTTGAATGGTTCTATGATGAACTATAAGACCTTCTAGAACTAATACGCAAAAAAGATGTCTTCTTCATCAAAAGGGACTGGAATGCAAAAGTAAGAAGTTAAGAGATACCTGGAGTAACAGGTAAGTTTGCCCTTACAAACTTTGAGTTTGTAATGAACTTTGAGTACAAAATGAAGTTTGAGTACAAACTTTGAGTACAAAATGAAGCAGGGCAAAGGCTAACAGAGTTTTCCCAAGAGAATGCACTCGTCATAGCAAACACCCTCTTCTAACAACAGAAGTGATGACTCTACATATGGATATCACCAGATGGTCAATACCAAAATCAGATTGATTGCATTCCTTGCAGCCGAAGATGAAGAAGCTCTATAAAGTCAATAAAAACAAGACGAGGAGCTGACTGTGGCTCAGATCATGAACTCATTACAAAATTCAGACTTAAATTGAAGAAAATAGTGAAAACCACTAGACCATTCAGGTATGACCTAAATCAAATCCCTGACGATTATAAAGTGGAAGTGACAAACAGATTTAAGGGATTAGATCTGATAGACAGAGTGCCTGAAGAACTACGGATGGACGTTCATAACATTGTATAGGTGGCAGTGATCAAAACCAACCCCAAGAAAAAGAAATGCAAAAAGACAAAATGGCTGTCTGAGGAGGCCTTACAAATAGCTGAGAAAAGAGAAGCGAAAGGCAAAGGAGAAAAGGAAAGATATATCCATCTGAATTCAGAGTTCCAAAGAATAGCAAAGAGAGATAAGAAAGCCTTCCTCAGTGATCAATGCAAAGAAATAGAGGAAAATAATAGAATGGGAAAGACCAGAGATCTCTTGAAGAAAATCAGACACCAAGGGAACATTTCATGCAAAGATGGGCACAATAAAGGACAGAAATGGTATGGACCTAACAGAAGCAGAAGATATTAAGAAGAGGTGGCAAGAATACACAGAAGAACTATACAAAAAAGATTTTAATGACCCAGATAACCGCAATGGTGTGATCACTCACCTAGAGCCAGATATCCTGGAGTGTGAAGTCAAGTGGGCCTTAGGAAGTATCACTACAAACAAAACTAGTGAAGGTGATGGAATTCCAGCTGAGCTATTTCAAATCCTAAAAGATGATGCGGTGAAAGTGCTGTGCTCAATACACTAGCAAATTTAGAAAACTAAGCAGTGGCCACAGGACTGGAAGTCAGTTTTCATTCCAATCACAAAGAAACGCAATGCCAAAAAATCTTCAAACTACTGCACAGTTGCACTTATGTCAGTTCAGTTCAGTTCAGTTGCTCAGTCGTGTCCCTCTTTGCAACCCCATGAACTGCAACACGCCAGGCCTCCCTGTCTATTACCAACTCCCGGCGTTTACTCAAACTCATGTCCACTGAACCGGTGATGCCATCCAACCATCTCATCCTCTGTCATCACACACTAGCAAAGCAATGCTCAAAATTCTCCAAGCCAGGCTTCAACAGTATATGAACCACGGACTTCCAAATGTTCAACCTGGATTTACGAAAGGCAGAGGAACCAAAGATCAAGTTGCCAACATCTGCTGGATCATAGAAAAGGCAAGA